CCAGAGCTTAAACTCAGATCTGCCTCAGTCACATAGCTGGTCTAATTTTAACAGCAAAAGGGTCACGTGGCCAATGAGAATAGCCTCTCCCCCCTACACATTGCCTACATCTTCACAGTCCCTCTCCTCAACGACTTGTGCTCCAGTCAAGTTTACTTCTAATATTGGCTGAGAATTGTTGGGTTGCCAACCTGCAGGTGTGGACAGGAGTTCTCTCAGAATTGCAACTGGTCTGCAGACTAGAGATCAATTTCCCCAGAGGAAATGGCAGCTTTGGAGGGTTGACTCTATGGCATCCTATCCCTGCCATGCTCCCTTCCCTCCCCAGCACAATCCACAAATCTCCAGGAAGTTCCCAAGCTGGAGTTGGCATCCCTACTGAGGAGAAACATGACACGGAGGGCAGATTATAGGAGTAACCAGTGGGCAGAGAGAGGGTTTATCACTCACTGCCTGCTTGCCTGTTTTGTTCTTACAGTCACATCTGGCTTGCCCCTAAGGACAGCTATAGTTACTGTCTCTATAGGGTACAGGCTTCGAGTTTTGAACCAGGTGTGTATCAGTATTTCCAGGAAACAACACATACAATCTTATGACTCTAAAGGTATCCCCAAATCTTTTAATAATATCCATTAATAGCTGTAGAATATTTTGCATTCATGTAAATCTCCGACTCAGTACATTTTAAGGGAACCCAACATAATATTGAATGTGTGAGAGAAATGTGGGAAAGAGGGTTAAAAGTGAGGAATTCTCTGACCTCCTTCAGGGATAAGGGATTAGTGATGCTCCAAATGCCTATGTGTGTTGCCAGTTAGTAACTGTCACCCATGACACCCTCGGAAAAAATTAAGACATTTTTTTCCAAGCAATCCTCTATCTGCCTTGTTGCTCAGTGCAGAGATCTTCATTGTGAACTGGAAGTCCTGAGTCATGAGTATCGCGGCTGCCTGATGAAGTTACAGCAGTGCCGAGATGAGCTCAGTCGCTTTCAGAGGAAACGGGCACAAGTAGGAAATGTTCTATTTGAATGTTCATTGTACACTGCCACAATTGATTTAGTCTGCAATTAAAGTACAGTTTCCTAGCACCTCAGTATCCATGGCCTGAAGAAATTTCAAAACCTTACATACATCTTAATATCATGAGCTTTAAACCTGGGTTGCACAACCTGGGACTTTATCAAAGACACGGAAACCAGAAAAGCCCATTATAGCAAAAGTTAAATATTTTTTTGTTGGACGTTTGAACTCAGTGAAGGACAGATGCTTAAAACCTTGATGCTGGCACTAGAAATTGAAATAATTTCAATTTTCTTCTCCCAAGTTTTTAAAAGTATTTCACCCAATACCTATTTAAATAAGAAGGATTTACACTAGCTTCTAAATATAACTAATGATGGGCTTTGGTGGACCATTGAGGGCAAAGGAGTTCCACAACACAGGTGCCACTACCGAAAAGGCCCTGCCTGTGCTTCTAACCTGTCTAGTAGAAGCCAACTGGAATTTTATTGGTTTCATGGGCTGAAGAAAGGGGTGCCTAAGATTCTGAGTACCAGCCGTTTGCAAGAGGACTCACAATCTACATCTTGAATTGTGTCCAGATCCACGGCAACTAGTATAGCTAACACAGAACTTAATATATGTTCTTGCACCTAGTTTTTTTTTTTTAAAAAAAAAAAACCAGCTGCATTTCTGCACATTCTGCACCTCCCAAATGCTACTGAAAGGCAGATGGATAGAGAGCTACCAGCACCATACTCATAATAGAATGGGCTTATATAGATCCAACCTGGTCTTAACCCTAACCCAAGGCCGTATTTATGCAATCCCCATTTCTGCCTATGCCATAATCTGGTCAGTTGTTTTAAGGGTTACCAGTTCTGCCATTTTGGTTTGCAGTGGCAGTTTACTTTGGTATCATAGGAGACTCCAACTATCACTCTGCTCTTCTATCTGACTCCACCCCCCTTTATCTCACTGGTGTTTGCCTATGAATAATCATGTGACTTAGCAGCATGTGCACAAAACATAACCCATGCTCTGAATGCCAGCTCACTTTGCCAAGCCACCCCAGTGCTGAAATGGTTGTATTAATAGGCCTGAAATTGTCTAGTTTCATCTATAGGTCAGCAAGTCACATTTTTGCCTTTGCAAGATGGTGAGGATCACTTGTTTTCAAAGATCACTTTTCCTACAGGAGTTTTGTTGAGTGATCAAATTAGATTTCTTTGACTAAAACACAAAATGAAAGTAGAGAAAAGGCTAAAGCTTGATTACAAGGAGAGATTATAAATTTGTCAAACTATTTTTTTGCCCTTGCCTATGATCTGATTAATTTGCATCTTTCTTTCAGAGACAACATGATCACTGGATCCCCCTCCTAATGGTGGTGATGGCAACAGCTATGGCAGCTTATTTAGCCAATTTTATACCCTGAGTAGGGATGGGCACAAACCACTTGATGAGCCAAAGTTTGGGCCAAATTTTGCCTGGTTCGAGGCTCGCGAGCTGTGAGTCAGGGACTATGTGTTCGCTGGAAAAAACTCCGAGCTTTTGAGCGTGGTGTGGAGCAGCTCGGAAAACAGAAACTTTCAGGAAAGTCTGGCGTGAAAATGCTAGGTAACGGTGGGGGTGGCGATGTTTTCCAGCCTTGGAAACACGAATAGGGACCCTGAAAGCTTGACAGCTATGCTGCGGGCCAATAACAGAGTTCCCTTCTCACTGCTTGCAACAGGACAGGGCGATTAGGAGTGTGTGCTCAGTATAGTATCCAAAAGGTGCCCCTGGGCAACCTCTCTAACATCAAGGGGTCCACTTCCCAACCCCCCCCCCTTCGCTGCCACCGTGAGCAAGGGGTCCCCAACCTCCCCTTTTCACGTTTTCCCCTCTGCAAAAGCACCTTCCTTGGGTGCTGGAGATCCCATTCTTTCATTATTTGCACCTCCTGGTCTTCCTCTACCACCATCAAGGGTCGGCCAGCTGGCACAACCCCTCCAACCTTTGTCAAATCTCCCTTTCCCCATTGCCTCTCTTTGCCTCCTTCCCCTTGCAGCCCCACCTGTCCTGGTGGACCCCAGGGATACCGCTACCAAGCTGCCCTCCCCCTCCTGGCCACTCTACAACAACCCCTTATCTGAGCCACCAATGTCTCCCAGGTCTCTTGTGGTGGCATGATTCAGGTAGTCAGTTCAGCAAATACATAAACTTTAAATCCATTCTCCATTATACCTATGGGGATGGACTGTGGAGACATTATGGCTTAAAGGAGCTGAATAACCAGCCTACTCAGTCAGGGGCTGGGGGCGGCTTAGCTTTGCCCTGGGTTCCTCTGAGTTGCTATTCTTTTTGTTTTCTTGGTGCAAAGGGTGGGAAGGTCAGGACTGAATTCTTTCATATGGCATGCATTTTGGTTTAGCAGGAGTTTGTTGCTCTCAGCTTTTCCTTCCCTTTTGTTTTAATTCCACTCCCCCTTTCCTTTGGGTTGCAGTGAAGGGATTTCTCTTTGCATGCTTTTGTTTTTGGGCTGCTTTTGGCAGGGGGCTCACTTAGTTACTGCCCTTTCTCTTCATTTCAACTGCCACCCCAGTTGGGGGGGGGGATTGCCTGCCTCGTTCCAGAGTTAATGCTTGGGGTCCCTTACATTGACTTTCCTTCACCCCCCTTCTCCTTTGGGGCTGATATATGTGGGTGCCTGTCTGGTTCCAGAGTTGCTGTCTGGGATCCCTCACTCTTCTTCATTTCAAATGCCACCTCACTTCTCCTGTGATGGTTTGCCTGCCTCATTCCAGACTTATTGCCTGGGGTCCCTTAGCCCTCTTCATTTCACGCTTCACCCCACTTCTCCTTTGGGTCTGATCTGCGTGGGTGCCTGCCTGATTCCAGAGTTACTGCCTGGGGGTCTCTTACTCCTCCTGGGCAGGGTGGGATGGGGGTTGGCCCTGCCCTGCATTCACCTTGCCAGTGGTGGGAGGGTGGGCCCTGGAGATGCAGCCACCCGCAACTGTGAGGGTGGCTCCCAGGCCCTGGACAGGAGGGTTGGCCCTGCCCAGTAATTATGTTTTTAGTTGTGGGGGGGGGCAGTTGGGCCTGGGGAGACGTGGCCACCCACAGCTGGGCCCAGGGAAGGGCAGGAGGGTTGGCCCTGCAAAGAATCATGTTTCCAGTTGTCAGAGGGGTGGTGGGCAGTTGGGCCCAGGTAGAGGCAGCCACCTGTGAGCATGTAGGGGTCTCCCGGGCGATGCAGGCTGGCTAGCTGGCAATGGCCCACAGTCTGCTCTGTCAGGGGAGAGGGCCCCAGGGACACTCCCAAACCCATGCCTGACATCTTCCCAGAACGGTTTCCTGGGTGCACCTTCTTTGGGTGTCCATAACTCACCCCCCCCCAACTCCAACCTACACATAACTGGCAGGGCATGTAGAGGGTTGTCCTAGGGAGGTATGCCCTGAGTTTGATGTGTCTAGCCCATCCTGGGTTTGAATATGTGCAAGACATGTCCCTGTGAGGCACTTTTCTGGGGGCACCTCTTGTGGGGGTGTCTGCAACCCACCCCCTGGGTTCAATCCACATGTAGCTTGCAGGGCATGTCAGGCAATATCCTGGGAGGGGCTCCATGAGTTTGATGCAACTAACTCATTCAGGGTCAGCACTATGCACTCCAGAACCTGCACCTCATATCTCCCTGCAGCACCTTCCTGGGGGCACCTTGTCTGAGGGTCCATAACTTGGGCCCCCCAAATCCAATCCACACATAATTTTCTGGGCATGTTGTGGGAGGGACTCCATGAATTTGATACCTGTAATTGCTGGGCATGTTGTGGGGCCCCCCAGGGAGGGACTCCATGAATTTGATACCTGTAGCTTGTGTAAGAGCAGTTCTATGCACTCCTGAATTGGTGCCAAAAATATCACTGAAAAGCAGTTTCCTGGGGCACTTTGTTTGGAGCTCTCACCTTGTTTGGAGGTCCATAACTGCCCCCCCCCATTCCATCCTCACCAAACTTGGTAGCCAACCTAGGAGTAGTCCGCTGGAGGTGCACCATGATTTTGGGGGCTCTGGGACCCAAGGGGAAACCCCCCTTTTCAAACTGGTGAGGTTCACAAACATGGCTGGTTTGCGAACCTGGTTTGCAAACTCAAACCGGATTTACCCAATTCATGCCCGTCCCTAATCCTGAGTATACCCTCCATCTAGCTTTGCTTGTGTTACTGGCTTTGCATTATGTCATTCTAGGTTACCCATTTTTGTACTAAACAGCCTAAAAATATTTCTTATAACATTTTGAATAGTTCTTTATGCTTGTGGGTCTAAAAAAAATTCAAAGGGTTAACTAATACTATTGCTTAGCTTTGGTGGTTGTTTTTAATTAAAGGTTATGTTCCAGAACAAGTGTGTCTGTCTAAACCAGCCACATACCACCAAACAACACAATTTTGACTCTTGCTGCTTTTGAAACATTAAATCCCACAATCCGGTATATGTTGCTTGACACTTAGGAATTGAAATCCATGTCAATCCTGGCTGGGGGGAAACAAGATGGTTCTTTTTGGACTGGAAGTTATCAACATTTTATCAAGCAAGGACACATTTATGGAGCAAGAACACATAGGAAGACAGTGTCTCAGATATATATTGAATCTATGTATGGTATGTCACAGAAGCTAGGGCATGTCCTGGCAGCAGAAACATCAATGAAGGAGACTTTATTGTCAAGCAGGAGTGTCTCCAGAGACTGCACCATCATGCCCAAGTTGATTATCATAACAGTATCAGCAACACTCAGAATGTTTAGCCGGCATCCAAGATCACCAATTGTCTGGAGCTACTGAATGTAGCTCAGGATCTGAGGGCATCCAGCCAAATTGTAATCATAAAGGAAAGCAGGCTTTAAGCGAACAGCTACAGCAAGTATCTCTCCAGCCAGTTGCAAAGAGGAAGACCAGGATAAGCCTTTCTTCTCTGCACTGAGATGATGCTGAGCTGCAGCAGCAAGCAGTTGATTCTTATTCCTCAGACTGGGTGGGCCTGAAGTACCCCTAATTTCTCATTGGTCTTTAACCAAGTCCTAAAAGCTGATCAAATAACAACAGTTAATAGACATCAAGCAAAGACATCCAGTACACTTTTTCACATTTAGCAAAATCTGATATAAGATCCAGGCACGAAGAAAATCTACCCAGACCAATTAGGCCAACGCATGTACTTTTAAAAAGTACAAAGTACATACAAGTCCTTAGGAACAGAGGTGGGACAGAAATGTTTTTAAATCAATAATGGAGCTAGATCTTAGAGCTGCCAGTCATTAAGCACAGAGCAATGAAGCACTTGTTCACAACGAAGGGGTAGGGTGGGAAGGTTTCTTTGCATTACACTTGGCCCATTGGGGTTGCGTTGCCTCTTTGCTGATCCAGACACTCTTGAGTGCTGCTTAATGCTAGTGGCAGGATCCAAACTGCCTTATTCTGTTCTCTGGGTGTTCAAACTTACAAGTGCTTCATTGCTCTGTGCTTAATGACTGGCAGCTCTAGGATCTAGCTTCATTATTGATTTAAAAACATTTCTGTCCCACCTATGGAAGACACATAAGTCCTTGTTGACTGATAAAGCCTTCAGTTCTGACACTCCACGTGCGGAGGTAATACCCACTAGGAACAGAGTCTTAAAGGTAAGTTCTTTAAGAGGACACAAAGCCAAAGGTTCAAATGGTGCCCTGCACAACATTTTCAAGACAGTATTTAAGTTCCACGTGGGAAACCTATGAACTGTGGGAGGATTAAGCAAAGAAGCCCCTCTCAGGAACCATCTAACATTATGGTGACGTGATAGGAATTTTTCTCCCCTCACACCCTGTACAGCCGAAATGGCTGACACCTGTCTCCTGAGAGTACTTGTAAGGTAAAGGTAAAGGTTCCCTTGCTCGAAAGCCAGTCGAATCCGACTCTAGGGTTGTGGTGCTCATCTCCGTTTCAAAGCCAAAGAGCCAGCGCTGTCCGAAGACGTTTCTGTGGTCATGTGGCCAGCATGACTAAACGCCAAGGCGCACGGAACGCTGTTACCTTCCCACCGAAGTGGTTCCTATTTATCTACTTGCAATTTCTTGCTTTCGAACTGCTAGGTTGGCAGGAGCTGGAACTAGAGACGGGAGCTCACTCCGTCATGCGGCACCCGGGTCTCGAACTGCTGAACTACTGACCTTCCACAGCCTGCAGTTCAGCGGCTTAACCACTTGAACCACCGCAGCTCCGAGAGTACTTGTACTCAGACCCTTATCCAACCCATCCTGCAAAAAAACATAAAATGCCCTTTACAGATACCTTAAAAGGGTCTAACATTATTCTGACACCATGTCTGAAAAACACGCCAGGTAGCATTATACACTCTATTGGTGGAGGTTTTTCTAGACGCTAACATGGTCGACACTACACCCTGTGAAAAACCCAGAGC